TCAAGCTCATATTTAAGAAATTGCACACCAGCTTGACTATTTAAGCTGCTGAGCATGGAGCATCTTGCATTTAGTTTTACTGGAGGTGGTAAGAACTATACGTTCTGGAAAGGCTTTGGGTTTCCTCATGAGAGACTCAGGAGGCTAAACATTGTTTAAATGTTTTGATTGTGGGATCTTGGCCCCCAGCTTAGAGCATATCCTGCCAGACAAATGGGAGTGTCAGCATTTTTTCCAACCCAAAAAAGGTTTTCCATACTTGAAGAACTAGAATTTCAGAAAATAGGAAGAGTTCTTTTGTCCAAAGACAAAAGCTTCTTTGATTTGAGAGCTCACCGTGATGCATCCCCACTATAATGAAGAGGTATTTTATAACTACGGCCAAAGTACCATACAGATGAAAATAACACCCTGTAGGAAACTTTGTTTTATAAGATTACATTAGAATTTCAGACTAAAATTAGTAGAGACAGTCCAAAGCAGTTACACTGAGAAAGAAACAAACCTCTTTCAGGCAAATCCTACAGTGGTAGAATACCAATTTTTTGAAGGAGAACAGAGTAAACAAAGTAAATCACCCGATTTGATTGGTTTCTCAGCATAATAAAGTGCTGAAACAGCACAGTGGAGGATTTGCTGGACAATTTTCTACACTGAAACTGTCAATTCATTCTGAAGCTTAGCACTGATGGATATTATGGATTGGTATGGATTGCACTGCTCCAACCATCTGAAAGGTCATTCAACAAACACAGCAGGAGTGACCTATTGTTCTTGCCATTGACAATCAGACTGCTGTTTTGACAAGTCTTTAAACTATCACAAATCTTTTCTTCAAGTATTACATGGAAATGTTTATCTTTGCTTTGTGGCACAATTAAAAGCTGGCATCTTAGGAGTTCACTGAAGCAGTCTTAATATCTCCTTGGGTCACACTTGCAAAGCCATGGAAGCCTGAGAATCTAATAGTGAATGGATCACCCCTGACATCTGTCAACTATACCACTGACTATAATCTTTTCAGTTCCATTTTCAGATCAGAGGGGGAAAAGAACTCAAGCTATTAGCCCCCGTGTACAAAAACGTTGGACTACTTCCCTTTCTTCACCAAAAGATCACTGTTTCAGCTGTAAAAATGAAGCTTCGCTGGTCAAAAAAATTATGGCCAATAAAAATTGATGGATTGAAACCATGACCTATTGCTTCATGGAGGAAGAAGAAAAGCATACAAAGAAGTAGTATTGGAAAATAAATAAATACCTCTCATATTATATTTTGGCATTTCATTTTGTGTGCACAAGTTAAGAGTGGATTAAAAATCCCCACCTAAATCATAATTTTAGGTTTATAATCTTAAATGTGCTAATTGCTGGAAGAAAGATACTTTGCATATGAATTTGGCTAACACTCATGCTGTTAGAAAGATATATTTCATGCCTACCTTTAGCTCCAGCTTCCTTTCTATTTAAAATAGAGACCTTTAAAAAAGCATAAAGATCTAAACACAAAATCATAGAATCATAGAATCATTTAGGTTGGAAAAGGTCTTCAAGATCATCAAGTCTAACCATAAAATATCAAAGAACAATTGTGAAATCAATTTCCTGAGTACTTACAGACTACAATCACCTCTCAAACAGGAGTGATTTTAGACTGACATAGATTTAAGATCTGACTAGGAATAGTCCCAGTCCCTTTACTTCACTGTATGAATATAACGTGCATGCACAGTTATAGATAAATGTGTAGCATACACCTAAGCCATTTATTAATACCATTTATTTACTACAAGCAGCCAGTAGGATTTTCGGTACAAAAACTTAATGATACAGGAAGCTTACTAAAGAAATGTTCCTTAAAAGGACATTAAAAGTTCTCTGCAGTGGTAGTTAACAAACGTCCCTTTCTCTACGCACTCTCCCCCAAGAAAAAATACAGTTACAGCAGCATTCATGAAAACAAGTCCTTACTGAAACTCTTGGCTACACTGATCCAATTGCTCTCTAAGGCCAGTTTATGTACTAAATAAACGGTTGTGGCAAATACTAGTAGATAACAGATCCCTCAACTGCTGTAGAAAGTATTTTACTGTTCCTGCAGAGTGGACAAGTCCGTTTTTAGCATGTGGAATTTCCTCAACAGGTTTTGTTATTCTTATAAAATTCGAGAATATATATATATTTTGTTTTGCAAAATATGGGGTTTTCATTCTACACTTACATTTCAGAAAGACCTATCAAAACAAATAAATTTTACAGCAACAACAAAAATTAAACCAGTATATTTTGGACTTGAAATACTGAGGATAGTCAAATCACTGAAGTGTTATAAGTCAATGGCTAAGAACCCTTAACCAAAACCTGTTTGTTGCAGATCAAATACAACATAATACTCATAGAAAAGAAATTTTTCTTTAGTTCAACTCAGTCAGCTAATTCTCATTAACAATTAACTCATTCTAGATTAGGAACTGAAAATAAACATTTCTCTATGGTGAGTTTGGAGAACATGACATCTAGTTGTACTCAAAGTGCTAAGAATGTAGTGAGGAGTTATCAGTTAAGTTTTCTGAATACAGATAGCATGTGCTTTGTGTAATGAGGTGGTTACCATTAAAACCTAAAATTGTTTTGCTAAACCTATTTTTTAATTCAAACCATTTGAAGTAGTTTCATCTAACTCATTGCAATTTTTTCTCATAGTTTCTGAGCATTTTTAACAATATCCCAATAATTATCTGAAAGCATCTTGCCCAAAAGTTACTAAAATTGTAATAAACTAGTATATAAGAAAAGTGTTTTTGTCTTTCTGGTATTGAAAATAGTAAAGAAGCTGAACAAATCTATGCTAAATTCTATTTGTGTGTATGGAGTTGTCTAGGATCAAGAATCTTTGGAGAAATTACCCTATTCAGCAAGTTTCTTTGAATAATAATAGACGTAATATGGGGAAAACCTGTCAGTGGGGGACTAGCTAGGAAGAAAAACAGATAAGATGACACAGTGAAGAATCTACATGCTGTGGAGACTGAAAGACTCTCTGAAAGCTCTAAGCTTTTGGAGAATTTATGAGCCAAATAAGTCTGGATGGTCAAGGGAGATGGTGTCATTAAGACACCGCTGGATACAAAGGCACCTTCCAGACTGATGTGAGTTAAAAGGCCTGGGGGAAGTAGCACTGACCTGGGGAAAAACTAGCTTCTACTGCTTCACATAACATTCGTAGGCAGGAACCAAGAGGTGCGGTTAAACTAGGCGATGCCATCAATTTCTGGTAGACTGGTTTCAAAAACACAGAAGGAGACTCCTGAGTGCGCCGTTGGCAAAAAGCAAACGGAAACGTAACCTACCTGAAGGATTAAGTTACGAACTAGACAAAAAATACTCTATAATAACTAGCGTTCTCCTGGAAGAGGTTCTTGAGAATAGTGAGCCTGCTACAGGAACCAGTCAACAAAAATGAATGTTACAGGAAAACAACTGAAAAGTGTAATTGCAAGAGCAGTTAAAAAATGGTTAATTAAATCCAAAGCACTTGGTCATTAAATAATGATTAACAGTGGTTATTGACACACAGACAAATTAGCAGAAGCATGAGGACCTCAACTCATTTGTGACTTTCCTTAAAGCAGGTACTCCAAAACTCCTAAAAGGTCTTTTCTAAACACTGGAGCTTGGTTTCTTTAGGAAGTGAATAAAAATTAACACTAAAATGGTAAAAATACAACTCAGAATGAGACCTGACAGCAATGCAAGGATCTGTTAACATAAGTCTCATCCCCTCAACTCGTAAGTCCTCACAAGGTGAGCCCTCTCCTTTGGCGTCTCTCATTCCAGTAACTAAGTAACTTTTATTTTCTGCAGGGTAATGTCTGAGTCCTTATGAAATATATTCCCTCCGTTATCTCTGAGGCGTGGGTGTTTGTTCCCTACTTTTTGAGGAATTTCCCTCTCTGTCGCTGATGTTTGCAGACTGCCAAGCCTCAGCTTTCATTCTCCTCTCTTCTGCCTGTCTCTCTATGCACCGTATAAAAACTTTCCCCCCCCAAATGGCATTCTTTCTTTGTGATCCTGCCTTTCTCAAGTGTAGCCCCTGGGAGAAAACGAACAAGAAGCTGTCCTCTGATACCCAGCCACATGCATTTCAAAGCAACACAGTCTGGTAAAAACAAGAATCGTCCACAATCCTATAGCCTTCGATCTGATTAATAGGTTTGAGACAGTTAAAAGAATCTATCCATGATACGGAAGTTTCTGTATCAGTTTCTCTATAATGCTGGCCAGACATCTGTAGAAATTTCATCCTAGAAATTAATAATTTCTCACAGAAAATGAGTCGGGATTACTAACCAAATATAACATTGTTTTCACGGTGGGGAAAGGGATGTAAACGTGCCCATATCATTCTAAACTCCAAAATGTTCCTACAATGAACTGTGTATCACTAGGGAAAAAAAGCTGTCTTCTGAAAGTATGGTATTAAATGTCAAATTCATTAGTGACATGACCTGAAATCATTGGGTCTTTCTTTCTAAACTAGCTGCATATGTGATGTTTGGATTCCTATATATGTTATTTTCAGATCAAATTGAAACCACAGAGAAAATATTGTGCTTTATTATTTTGTGTCATTTTTTGAAAGAATGACTCAGGCATTGATATTTAGGCTACTTTCAAGTCCAATATTTAAAGTCCACATCCTAGCCATAAGCACACTTACTGACATATTGGAAGGTCACTGGAATATGAGACGATAGAGGGAGGTCTACGCAAAAGACCTACAAACTAAATATCTTCTGCATTGAAGGAAAGGCAACTCTAAGAAAATGGAACTGTTGTCCTGTATTTTCATCAAAGTACTGAACAGGTTCCAAACAGTTTCAGATGTATTAAAAACCAGACCTGTGGCATTTTCCTCTTGTACATTCATATTTCATTAAGTGCAATGACTTTATCTTTTCTCCAGTTAAAAATGCCATTCAAATTGGCTGCTGTACTTACTCTTTCACTGTCACAATATAGCCGTATTCTTTCTCCTCAGAAGACTTCACTTCAAGTTGTAAATCTTGTCCGCTTTTTTTCCGAGGCTCTTCATAGGAGTTTCCATCCTGCGTTAAAGCATTCTTAACCCAGTAGTGGGTCTCGCTTGGGTCTTTGGAGTCAGACTCGCTGTTCTTTGCAGCTGCCAGTTCCCTTGAGAAAGTCTCACTTTTTACATTTTCCACACCAGCAGTTATTTCTTCTGACGAAGAAAAGTCAGTGTCTTCAAATTTCTTGGTTTCTCTCTTAGTAGATTCTTCAGGTATAAGGACTTTAGGCATATTTTCAGGTAATACATTCTCATTCAAGAAGTTAACTAGTTTTGCAGTGTTCTCCTGTATTAAAAGAATATTATTATTTTTAAAAATAAACACAGGAATGTTATACTGAACCAAACCTGGATATAATCTTTCAAACTCTTATTGATATGGTAGAGTCTATTCATACAAATGTCACATGGCCTTTTTCTTAATTTCTATATGCTGCCAGAGTATGTAAGAAAATAATGTTTATTCGGTAATAATACAAGAGCATTAAATTATGCCACTGTATTTTTAACTAGTTTTAATACGGGCAAAGAAATTCTATAGTTAACAGTTACTTTCTTCTTCAAATATCACAGAATCTAGATGGCCTTTTCTCTGTCTTGAACAGCTAGAAGAAAATGCTGATCGCATTTTCATAGTGTTCATTTTCATGTCTGTGTGTTTAAGTATTGATGAGAATAAAATTTTGTTATCAAATAAGTTAATGAAAAGGAGAAATAATAGAAATATCCATCAATATGCCTAAGTGTTGGGACTGGAAACATGCGTACCTCTTGGGTCTCACAAGTCATGATACAGGAAAGGGAACAGATATAATGTGACAAATTATATTTCATGTATTCACCTCTAGAAATTTTGACAAACTGTTTGTGAATGATCCACTAATCTAAACATATGATCACAGAAAAAAATGTGTCTAATAAATTGAAACAATAAGCAAATGAGCAAAAGTGAAAACACATGCCTGGAACCATTTGTTAGCTAGTTTCATCATATAAGTTTATTGCAGCCAAGCATTTGGGAGAAAATGATGGCTACTGGGCACTTTCTGCTCTGTGTCACAATATATTCTTTTCTATCATATCCCCTATTCCAGCTGTCACTAAGAAATCTATACATGGGATCCTCTGTAAGTCTACCGTGAATGCAGCACTTCATTCCTTAAAGAATTTCATGTGGGTGGTTAAAGTTCCTGCCACGTTACCTACTTGTGTCTTTTCCCTGCTTGGTAGAAGGGCAGCTACTAAAAAGATTTTACTGTGAACACAAGAGGGTTTACCCATTTATGACTCTTGCCGTATTAGCTTTTGATAGAGTATATAGTAGGAGAAGTTTCATGGCAGTTTAAAAAAAAATTTGAGATTTTTCTGCTCCATGCAACCCAGAAAAAGAAAGATGAATATACCTCAAAAATGGCTAAATATTGGACCTAAGTCTATAGGATACGATTCAAAGCTCATGAGGAATACTGTAAAAGTAATCGGGATTAAAATCCCAAATTTGATGTTACCACCTAGGGTATGAGATGTAATGCCTAGAGCTTTTGAAATACCTCTGATGTTCAACGATTTCAAAGAATTAATGGGAAAGTGAAACAGTGAAAAATGACAGATCCCATGAAAGGAGAGGGAATTTTGAACCCTCCCACAAACACATGCCCTCAGAGTGAATATATTTACTCATCTGCTTCTGAAAATCAGAGAGATTATCTGACCAAGAACGCTTGCTTACATTCCCCAGAGCTAAGAGCCAAAGGACAGGTGGAAGAAGGGTGTCTTCAAGAACACCTCAATACTCAAAATTTACTAACCTGGGGAAAAGACTGAATTTGTCTGAACTTTGAGATCTGTTATGAATTCTGACTATTTATGAATGAAAGAAAGGCAAAACAGGACTCGATTTGGGGGTTTTTTGAACTGCAAAACTTATTTACATTAAAGTTTAAATAAATGTACATTTAATATTTCAATGCATCAACAACAATTTGCCTATGCTGTGAATTATATCCACACAATATTTATATAAAAATAATTATATTGAATTATATCCACACAAGACACAAAATGAGTCTTATATTTCAGAAGTGTGTTTTTGACCTTCACTGTATATAAACCTGATATTCTGAGATGGAATACTTGTTTTGTTAAAATACTGGTACTCTACCTCTTTATCAGTTCTCACACTGGCTTCAAGCATTCCGTTGTCTGTAGGATATGAAAAGCACAAATACATAGTTATGAAGGAAAAACATCATATATGAAACAAACACTGCTTATAGGCTGCTTTGTAGTAGCAACCTTTTCATGCAATTTAGACATTAAGACATCAAAGCTGAAAGGGCAGAGTAAAGAGCACTGTATAATTCAGTATTGTTATTCTAACCCCACTTCGATAGCAAATTAATGCAAGATCAATATACAGAGTACTTCAAGAGCCAATGTAACACTGTTATTTTGCTAATTGTCAAATCTTCATATGAGTTTATCAATATCTATGCAAAAAAACAATAAAAGGGCTCTAGCTAGCTGAATGGACATTTACATTAAAGAAAAAGGAAACATATACATTCCTCATACACATTTCTGTGGAAGAAGATGACTTATTTCAATAGATATCATCTACCAAAACCATGTTACAGTTTAACTACAGTGATGATATCCAGTCACATCATTAACCGCAGTCAAATAATGCTGGTTTTTTGGTTTATGAACTGAGTCTTACTCATCTCTGCCAGCATGATTCAGGACAACCCTCAAGTATGCTCATTTTAATCTACAAAAACAACCGACAATTAAAATAACCAGAATATCCCTAACTAGTAAGGATTTCAGTATATCACCATGAAAAAAGACTGTAAGTTAAAAACACTATTTATGATTTATAGCACATGTTTTTGGTGTCCTACATATCATAACATTCCTAAATTAGACAATTTAGGGTGAGTGGTAACTTATGTCCACCTGTGGTATCAACTCATTAGTGTCAATTACTCTAGCTCCTGAATTTACATCACCAGGAAAATATGTGTCCAGACAGAAGTAAATAACCATAATAACTCTTATTTCCCTAAGCAGGAAAGGCAATAAGTAGTTTTCTACCTGTACCTAAGACTTTATTCTGCAAGTAGTCATTGTGGTACATTAAAGAATGATTATCAGTAAAACATAATTTTTTCCCCACATATTTCAAAATACATTCTTGGAATATAATAATTTTTCATTACCATTTTGCTTAAATATCTCATTTTCAAGAAAGGGAATTTAGACCACACACTATAAAGCAATTTGTAATTCAATGTAAATGGGTGTGTAGATTTATCTTGTTTGTGAAGCTTGAAGGACAAGGCTTCACAAACATGCATTTTTGGTAAAAAAAGTACCTGCTGCAAAAAGAAAACAAGAAAGCTAAAATTGTGCAGCCTTTGCAGAAAAATACAGTAACTTTTCCTCCTGTCTTCTTTAAAACCGAGTTTAAAAAGTTTAGCACTAACGAGAACCAATAAAAGAAAATCAGGATAGCTATCTTTTGCTGTACTTAACTCTTATAATTAATACCTGGTATATCGACGTTGTTTTCCATTAATCCAGTCTGAACATCTGCTCTTCCTTGAGAATCTCCTTTCTTCATTTGTGCTTCTGTTTTGTCGTCTTTAGTTTTTCCAGCACCCTTTTCTGTTTCTTCCTGAATTCCGGCGGTTTGAAGTGCATTGGCGACAGTATCAGCTATCTCATCCAGTTCTGTTGAGCTGAGATTCTCCACATTCACTTGGTGTTTCTCTAGGTCCTTCAATACATCTTTAATAAGTGTCTCTGGATCACGAAACAACATAAGCACAAGATTTAGCTGCGTACATGAAGAAGGTGTGCTTGTGTCAGTATCTTTCAGCCTAAAAGATATATCTTTTCCTTAACAGAGAACATCTGTTTTCCAAAAGAGTGCATACACATTTCATGCTGCCATCTTTACAGAAAACACAGTATATAAATGGATGTTAGACTTTATGACAAGGTGAATCCTTGTCAGGCGCCGAGGGATGTATGCCACTACAACCCAGCCAGCTGCCCTAGAGAGAGTGGCACAAAATTGTCACTGTTTCTTTACAAGAAAAGCATTGTTTCCTAGTCTAAACTGACTCAAAATATGAAGATAAGTGTTAAGGTAACTTAACTTTTTTTGGCTGCACTAAGTGCAAACAACACTACTTTTTATTAGAGATCATGCTTCTTTGGCGATTTGCTTTTTGTGAGGTAAATAGCTATATAGAGTTCTGGAAAAAAAAGTGTCAGATATTTTGTCATTCAATCAAAAAGCTCCTCTTCAATTAGAGGTGGATATGGATATATGTTCGTCATATTCATGGATATGTAATGGACAAACTTTCTAAATTGTATTGATTTCTCTTTGAAAATATATGATTTGTCAAAAGTGAACTTTACTGGTTTGGTTCGTCAACTACAAATGTTTTACCCATCACATTGAGGAAAGAAACGTTAAGATGACATTCCAGGCCAGGAAAAGCAAATGGACTCATACTTAGGGAAAAAACCAAACCAAACCAACAAAAACAACCTTGATGTGAAGAAAGTTTTGAAGATGAGGAAATTCAAGGACAATGGATATTAAAGGTGAGTTAGAAGACGTAGCATAACAGCTCTTCAGGGAAGGCACTTTTCTCACTGCATATATCCTTCAGGACCACTCTGTATAACTGCAAAAATCAGCCTAAGAATGAGACACTAAATGTAGGGCTTACTCTAGCATATTAAAACAATTTTCAATCATGCCTCTGTTCTGCGTATTCATGCTGATGAGGAATTTAGCATACACATGCATATGCATACAAGCAAGACAACTCTTTCACATACGCAATATTGCGTAAGAAGAGGAAGATAGGGACTGCTTTTAAATCACTGTTGAATGTATGAATTTATGTTTAAGCAGTTTGAAGGCAACATCCAACCTTTTTTCTTACGGTAACATTCTCCCAGATAAGCTCCGTGTTTGGGCATGTTCTTCATCATCTGTAAACAAGACTTTGCGACCATGCGGCCAGCTTTCAGGTTTACATGAAAGGAAATTAAAAAGTAAGTGTGCAAAGGGGAAAACAGTACCTGAAAAAGAGCTAAAGAGAAGGTTTTGCTTTTCACAGCAAAGAAGGAAGAAGTAGTTAGAGACTAGGAAAGAAGAAGTATGTAGAGACTCTTCTGCTCCAGGGAAGAGGCAGCAGAACATCTGCGATTTTGCAGGGAGACAAGAATCAAGGATTATTTGTCATTTAGAAGAAGAGGCCAACACCTTGGACACACTTGTCGTTTTTTGGACCCCTCTGTGTTAGCTGAAGAGGTTATAGCCTGCAGCTGACAATCAGCTTCTCAATGCCGTCTCAAGGCAGAGATTAATCTTCCCTGACCTGACCCATAATTCACCACTGAACTAATGCCATTTTCCCTAAAACAGTCAATATAAACCAAGATAAATTAAGCAGCTTAAGCAGTAGGTTTACTGTGGGACAAAGAGGGTTTTGACACATGGGGAAGGTAGTTCTTTGGCATGCATTCTTTTCCAGGTTAAAAGGCTACATCTTTCCAATTATGCACCATGATGATATTACAAAATTCTGCTGATTTCATTATAAAATTCAGCTAAGGTTGTATGCTGTGAACTTTTGAAATTTACTTTAAAAAGCATAGTTTTAAATACACTTAAGTATGACTACCAATAAAAAAGATAGGTTACATGTATGATGCTGCTTCAAACTGTGGCAGCCAACAAAGTGTCCGCTAACGAGAGTCAAAGACTTAATTTCATGATCTCTGACAAACTCTCTGGGCCAAGATATTTGGAGGCAGCAAAATTAGGACTGAAGTTTGATGGAAGCTGAGTAACACGTCACAGAAAACTTTGAATACTTTCCTTGTATTGTACCCTTTCCCTGTTATGAATTTAACAATGCAGTAAAAACATAATGACCAAATGCTTTTGTTTAGGAAGTTAATCCACAAGAGAAAATTAATCCAAACTGCAATAAAAATTTTCATTAAACTTGATCAAACTGAGTTGAAGGAACTTTTTCAAGAAGCACAACAGCTACCTGGAAGACGGCCATTTGCAGAAGAGGTTACACATAGCAGAAATGCAAGAAATTAAGCTGTAGGAAATACCAGCACTGCCAGATTACTGCAGAAATCTTGTGACTGCTTAGATATCATTTCTGTTCTTATGTTTTATAGAACTACCGGACAATAACCCGACAGAAAAAACTAAATTATTGAAGCAGAGCTAATAAAGGCAGCAAAGAAAAGACAGAATATATGTCAGTTGCAAATCAAAATGTATAAAGACACATTGCAAGGAACATCACAGTAGGAAGAAGTGTTCTTGGAACACTGTTTCATTACCTGACATCAGAGCATCTACAAAAGAATGAAAACTGTGATGACTTCAGTGACTTTCTTTTTCAAGAGTTTGCCATTTATACATTGATATCCAACAGCTAACAACCGATGAATTGGAATTTTTAAGGTTTTTGCAATCACCTGGGATATTTATATATGTCCATAATAATTTTTAGTGCAGATAAAGAATCCACCCCTGTATTTCTAAACCCCGTGTAAATGTGTAATGGTTTTTTAAAACATCTATGTCAAGAACAAAAGGCTTCTATGTCACACATCATTCATAAACATCTAATTTTAGGCAAAAGAAGAGAGAACATACCCAAAACAGCCAGCTGACTAGAGGCTTGAACATGAGTTTCCTACAATCCAGATTAGTTTCCTAACTATTAAATGATACTGACTGCTTTAGGATCACGCTCACCTTCCTACAATATTTTTAAAGCATTTTTTATTTGTTCAACTTCAGACCAGAAACCACATTTCTTTTCCCTTGACTTAGAACCCCTGCTTTCTAGTCATAACATGTCTAGAAGAATGTCATTCAGTTACTGTGATTTTCAAGCTATTAGGAAACATCTTACCAAGAAATGGTATTTATTAAAAAAATTAAAAAACATTTACATGCCTAGTAGCACTATTTCTTCAAAATTTTGATTCTCAGATTCTCAAGTTTACTCGGTGTTACCGTTACTTACAGTCCTGAAAGTTTATCTATTTTCTGAAAATGGGACCAAGATTCGTAAAATACTTCAAAAGATTGGTTAGTAATACTATGAGGTTTTTAGCAAAATGCATAGAGAGATATTTCAAGCAAATTCCAGCAAATGGAACAGCATAAGAACGATTGAATCGTTGAGTAAAAGTTGTACAAACAACATTAATTCATTAATGATAAAAAAGCTAGTGTAAATTACATTAATTCAGCAGCAAAATCAAATCAAAAGCAGCTCAAAATTATGATTTGGAAAATCAGCAACCTGAGGTTTCCAAGCTGAAAGCAAGTTTTGTGTCTCGGAAAAATAGTTTGCATCTGCATTTGCCTGTTAAATTTTATTTAAGCTAGTCACTGGCCGTTAAACCAATATTTGAAGATAAATCTTAAAAGATAATTGTATTTCAGGTCATGTGTAATTAAAAGGGTTAAGTAGCACTACTAGATTTTTGTTTATTTTGGTTGTTTCACAGCCAGCTTCCAAGACTACCTATGGAGTAACTCAACAATATGCAGTCAGTGCCGCCTTGTCATTTCCAGCCCATTTCATTATTTCCAAACTACCTTTTCTCTGTACCTATTATCTTAGACAAGTCTTATCTCTTCAGCCCACTCCCACAGGTTCATAGACAATAACAAAGGAGTCTCAATCTCAAAAAAAATGGAAATGGGGGAACAGGGTGGGGAATCACACGAGAAAATGAATGGCCACAGGCCCTACTCTGGATGATACTAACAGGCTCACTGCAGGTCCTCCTGGTTCATTAAATAAACCTGTTCTAGAGGAGCCTCCTGCTCCTCTGATGTGGCTGTTTCTGCCCTGGTCGATGCCACCTGGGTACAGTTCATCAAATGAACTCCTAAATACTTGTGTCAACGTGAGTAAAGCTTAGGCATTACATGCTACCTTTACTGAACAACGACAAGTGTGACTTCAAATGTCAAGGACCGAAGGTGATAACAAAGGTAGCAGGTATGAGGAACGGCATGTTTTCAGTATGCCAGGTGGAACAGTCACCAAAATGTCTGTAACAGCCTGGTGAAATGGCGATCTACATAAAGAGTCTTGCTAACTTCACGAAGTTACTGATATGATGTTAGTACATGCCCATGTTAAATATGGGTGTTTCCACTTCTTGTTAGGGCACCCGTCCATGTTTGTGTATCATGTGCATATTATTGGACAAGGCTGATACAGATACAAATATCAGTGCGTCTATTTACAAACACCTTCGGTTAATTTAAGGAAATTATGATGAATTCATTAAAAACAGAAAATATTGTTGGAGAAAGACCAAAAAGCAGATGGACACCACAATGGCACATCACTTAAGCAGCACATGCACTCAAACACGCATGTACCTGTGTACAGCCCTTAAACTCTGCTTGCCCCTTCTAAGTAGAATTGGCAATGCTCAGCCATATTTCGCCGGGCTTGTACAGCAAACCAGATTTCTCCCTTAGCTCCAGCTTCTGAACTGAAGAAGGCAAGCTGTCTTTTATAGTTGCCTTGGTACCATGATGACAGTAAAGGCACATATATCTTAGATGATGTCATTTTTAATATCAGCTTCACCAGTAGAATTCCCCTAGTAAGTAACAACAGCAGCTTAGCAAGGGAAAAGAGCTTTTTATTGTACAGCGTATAAATCATGCTCCATACTCTGCTGACACAACTGCCAAGGCCACCTTGCCTGACAACCCACTGCTACGGCAGCAGTAACTTTGCTAGTAGTGCCACAGGGCGGTCTGTCGTCTTCTACCCCACCATCCTACTGACCACACATTAGCTACCCTCAGCAGCTGAACACCATATGGATTGGTGACCATAGCTTTGCAAGGCAGAGGACGTACACAAATATCTTTTCTCTATAAACATGGAAGTTTGTTATCTTTTGAAAAAAAGACACCTGAACTACTAATTCTCTGACCTTTTCAAAGCAACAGAAAGAGGTATTCTGTAATATTTAACGCATCAAAAATGAGTAGACTAGAACAAATAATTTAAAACTGAGCCAAGTGCTAAATGCGGCTGGTGCAGAAGACAGATTGATTCCACTATTGCACAGTGCCTACAAAGGCAGTAGCCATGCACATCATGCTACTCACAGAGACAACAGTTTCCAAATCTGATAGAAAAATAACTCCACATTTCCTTCTCTTGTATTTCTCCCTTGGGGTGCCTTGATAGCTAATTTAACTGCCACTGTTTTGCAGCTATTCTCAGTGCTAATCTGTTCAGTACCTTCTGGATTGTTCTCCCAGTCAAGTTCCTTTGTCTAATCCTGTATGAGATGCAGCAGAGAACTGAGCTCATGTGACTGCACCCCATGCTTTCCAGTTTTCTGTGGTTTAGAGAGTGTGAGAGAGAAACGACCCACAAAAATCCTGAAGCACCAGAGAGATTGGAGAAAGGTTAAAAGCAGAAAGAGATGGTGCAGCCAGCCTGGCAAATCTGAATCCAAACCATCATCATTCCAAGGGACAGCATTTTAAACAACCAATACGTTGGGGTCTGTCCTCACCACTTCCTTATAAGACTATTAAGTTGCTCAAAAATACAATGGAAACCATATTATTTCCTACTCAAACAATCCATAATTTTATGTCTATGCAACATTTAAAAGCTAATGCAATGGAAGAAGTTCCTACAGGGCACATTATGTATGTGAAGTCAAAGTAGTACAACCCAATGAATTGTGAAATGTGTTATTCCCTCTAAGTGTTAAGCATTTTTTTCCCTGGTTGGCTCCTACCAGGAAAGGTGAAGTGGAACAGCTGGAGGATAATGAAACCAGCATGTGCCTAGTTTGTTTTGAGTCTAGCAACAAAATTGTCTAACCTGTGCAAGAGACTTACACTGCCACCTGGATTTGATTTTACATTCTAGTTCATTCCTTGAAACCTATTATCTCTAGGCACCATACCAAGAATGCTTTCATTTCTGAGCATCCTTTAGATTGCAAGCATTATCTTTCCTCTGCTGCAACTTTGACATTTCTGTGTGTTCTGTTTTTTAAAAAAACAACAAACAAAACGAATCAAAAAACATTAAACTTTATGGATGATAATAACTACTGAAGGAACTCAAAGGAAACCTCTTACATATCCCCAAAACCTATTGTGATAGTGCTGACTAGGGTGTAACAGATGTAACTGCTTGGCAATGGCTGAGGATCAATTCTTTCATTTTTCAGGCATTGTGAACCACTGGAATAACATTCATAGATAGATTATTTTAAAGAAACAATAAAGTGAATGAGTTATTTTCTAAGGTCTACCTGATCCCCAGCCATGACACAAAGACCCATCTTGTCGAGCAGCGCTTAAAGTGTATCACAGCATCCCGTGAGATGTTGCACCCCATCTTCATTTAAACATTCGTCAAACTAGCACGTACAAAAGAAATCAGCATCTGGTCATTGTTAAACTGCATTAGTAAAAAAGATGAGAATCCAGCAAAAAGGTTGTTTGTTACAGAATGTCCAGCCAAAACTACATGTAACGCCACATTCTTGTATTATTCTGGGTCCACCTATCCACATAATTGACAGACTCCTCCCCTCTCTGTGTTCTGCGCCAGAATTTATCTCAGTATTAATTTCTGTGTCTAACTTTGAATTTTACCCACGGTCCTTGAATTTCTAGTTAAATCAGAGAAATGGGGCAAAACCAGGCGTTTCTATATTACCTGTACATAGCGTTGGATGCATGCATAAAAACAGATTTGATAGCAAAAATAGACCCATAATTACGTGTTGTTTGTAAAAGGGTTTGGAAATATAACAAGTTTCGTAAATGCTACGTCTTACTGAGTGCCATATATTTCTTCATGCATATGGAAGGTGGGTTGAAGAATGTGGGTAGATGTTTGCAGGGAAAGATTATTACTGGGAGTATTATGGCAGATATAAATATGCCAATAGTAGGAGATATACCAGAATAGGCAATTTTTTTTCTTTTTTCTCAAAAATGCTCGGTGAACATGAAGGAAACTTCAGATAACTTAAAATAAGTAAATATCAACTTTACCATCCACTACACTCAGAGGGTCCTTTGGATCATCCTGGGAAGCAGATTTATGATTCAGCATCTCAGGGGATGGCCCCAACACTCCAGACACAGGTCTTGGCTGGAACAGCTTCTTCATTTTAAAATCTCCTGCTTTTGCTTCGGCAAAATTTCCATCAAAAGGACTGACTTGTGGAGAGTAGAATCTATCAGCATGAATGTGAGATCCTTTAGTCCTGCTGTGAGAGCTTTTATTGTTGCTCTGTGCTGACAAGTTCTGAGTGATGTACGTATGCAGTGCAGCCATCAGAGTTTTTTGGTCAAGCCCCATTTCTGACTCTGGTGAGAACTTGTCTGGCTGAGGTCGGTTGAAGGTCCTCCCACGGAGATTTTCAGCGTACTGTTGATGGGATGTCGATGCATGGGCCAAAGGAGGTCCTCTTTCTTTGTGTTTTTGCATCACATAGTACCTGATAGGATCATTATAGACGTAGCTCTAGAGAGAGTAAAAGGTGGAAAAAAGGGTGGGATCATTATTGCTTTGTAATGATTATTATTATGCAGGACTCATAGGCATAAGCCTTAGTGCTTTACAAACCAGGAAAACAATAATTAGAATCTGTAACGTGTATGTAGATTGCAAACCTCAAACTGGCAAATTTGCTTTAAAGAGGCACTATCACTTTGGCACAAATGTTGTAAAACTGTTTATTAAATTATTAAAAAGCAAGAGAAAGAGATTAGAGAGAGAATGATATAACTCAAACTTGATGTTAAGTATGTATTAACTATTTGTATTCTGTCGGACAAAAAAATTTAGTAAAGCCACTTTCCCTTCGATCTTACTAGACTTATGAGAATAACCTTTTTTTCAGGTTACTTACCAAAAACTAGCAAGTCAAATAAAAAATGTCATTTTTTAAAGAACGTCAAGAAAATGAAACAATTCTTTTGCATACATGAAATACTTTGCTCTATTTCAAATGAAATATTTTATTTTTTCACTAAATTAAATCTCTAATCAGTATGTCCTCTGACAGTATAAAGAAATGTAAAAACAGCCTTTAAATTGGTTTTTAATTTGTTTATTATTTTCAGGTAAAATAACTCAACAAATTAAGCAATAATGTAAAAAAAGTTCCAGTCAAGCTAAAATGACGTTTTCATTGAAAAAGTGTTGGTAAAAAAGTGGAAAGGTGGGCTGGCACTAGAGTTTTCTATTTTCAGTTTCAGATTTTCAAGGATGCACCAGATAGGAATCTAGCATTGCAAGACAACATGTATTGTTTTCATTGGCTTTTTCTGTTGTTGTTGATGAAGAAATTTAGTTTTGAGGACAAATTCTAAATTCTCCTTAAATTCTTTAAGCCTTTATCCAGCACATGAAACAATAAGCTCATTAATTGGTATTATTTACTATAATTTAGTGCTAGAGACATTTCTGTTATGATCACAATCTGAAGACACGACTTTTTGTTTTTATCAAAGTGGTTCCACCCTCGTAAATAATTTCAAAAATCATGTTCCTTCACTCTCCGCTAAATACAAAGTTGAATTGAGAGGTTTACTTATATTCAGAATTATTCCAATTAGATTCTTTGTTTTTCTGCAGAGTCTATACGCCCTAGAGGAGAGCAATTAGTAGAATTCAGCCAGAAAAATCATTATTTATGTATTTCCTAATGGACTTTGTAAAGGCAAAGTAAGTAAGGCTGATAAGCTATTTCAGATATGAATAAAGTCTTTTAGATTTTAGCTAGTTCTTTATTTATGGACAATAGTTTTGCTCTCCATCTGAACAATTTTATTGCTTCTGATAACAGTCAGTTGATTTTATAATATATATTCATACCCCTTGCTTTCCAAGAAGGTTATCTTCCCCGAGAGAAATGATTGAAGAGGTTCATTCCGTGATTCCATATCATGATTTGTGGATTTATGGCTTATGCAACTTTATTACAGAAAAAAATGCGCTTTGACTTCTCTGGCTTGTGATCCACCAAGGCAAGGCTTTAGACTTCTGCAGGTGGTCTTTAACATAGAAACGTGTTTTGTTAATGCCAAGAAACTGGGCTAGAGTAAGGCAGTGTCAAAGAATACGGAGCTAGAGCTCAAGCAGCTTTGTCTACGAAACATTTTCACGTCCCCTGGGAACCGCATCAAACAGCAGCAACGCGGCTCCGGTTCCGCGCACCAGCTGCAGGGTATGCGCGGCTCGGATCAACACCGGGAGGGGAGCCAGTTGTCAAAATACAAGTTGAATGCTGTTTACGTCCTTGTTAGCAAATCCTAGATGTGAAAAACTACTAGCTGTATGAATTTAACTCTCAATGTCACTGAGTCTTTGCGTGGGGTAACTAACTCTTTAATGATGCTCACGCCCTAGAAGGAGCTGCGGAGGATGACACAAAGCAGTCCCAGACACACCAAGTGGTTTACAGAGAATCCACATAAACTGTCACCTCCCTTTCCCACTCCCATGCTCCCTACCTTGCCATCTTCTGGAGGACCTTCTGGGGACACGGGAAGGAGGAACAGGGAGCTGGGAAAGGGAGAAACGTGGCAAGGGGAAGAGGGCATTCCCTGAGCCATGGAAAGGCATTAGGTCAGCGCTGTTGGATCTCTGTCCTACATCCAGCGGCTTCTTTTGCCTCTAAGGCTTTACTAATAAATCAAGTCTTTGAGGGGGCAAAACTGCTAGACACTCTCAAACCACTTGTGAAAAATTAGGGTCAGGAGATGTGGGCTGGCTTTTGATGAGCTATTTAACAAGTCCAAATAACCTTTAACATTAACAGATCTGCGATTTCCTGCTCTTGCAGATGACAAGCACATGGAGAAAGAAAACACAACAAAACCACCAAGCGATTGTACACAAATTGGATACAAGCAAGTGCCAGCCCTGGGCTCGGAGCTGCACCTCCATCAAGGGGCATCCTCCCAGCAGCTTGACAGGTCACACTTCAGGTAGTAAGGGATGAAATACTAAAAGTTCTAATTAAAGTACAGCACTGGCAGCTCAGCTGGCTTCACAGTGCACTCGGATACCAGCCCACCTGATGTAGCTTAGTCTGACTTAATTAAAGGGGGCTCACAGCTGTATGGCGTGGCAAGCCCCAACTTGGATGAGAAAAAATCCTCTTCCTCAGCCCTCCCATCTCATCTCAAACAAAACACAGCACCAAAAATCTATGTGCCAACTGAAACATGCAAGGTGAAATCCAAGTAAAATTGCAGCACGGATAAATACAGCCCTAGACTACGGGTTTGCGCTAAGTGGCACGAGCAAAAAAAAGTATATTTTTTACAGAAAAAGATAGGAGAAAAACGTGTGTTATACGCAGTTTAGAATTCAGTGACAATTTACATCTTAAGTTATTAATAACAGTTGCAAAGCACTGTGATAATCTTATTTGAAGTGTTTTTGCAATCTAACCTCCTGAACATAGACGTTGCTAGTTTGACTTCGAAGTTAAACAGCATAATCCATGGTCAGTGGAAAGAAGAATCTGTAAATTCCTTTCTTTGTGCCTTTGGAGAAGCTGCTAACATTATGGAGAAGCAGAGAGAAACAGGGAGCAGGAAAAATTTAAAAAGAAAATTCATTTCTACATTGATTAAACTGGATTTGTATAAAGCAGTTACAGTAATTGCAAAAAAAAAAAGACAAACTTTAAATGAAATATGCAAAAATAAGAAAAAATATTCCAGTTACTGTATAACTGGTTTATACTAAATAGGGCTGGAATACAAGTCCCTATTACTAGGAGCGATACCTTTTTTAGAAAGATAAGATACTGTTCAATTATCTCATGTCACTGATACAGCATCTTTAAAAAGTACTCTGAATTGCTAAAAAACTCAGTTTAAAAGAAATCTTATTTCTCCACCTGCACAAGATTCTCCTCTTCTTCACCACCTTTCAAATAAGCTATCTCAATAATTCACACTTTATCAAAAACCCCACACACTAACCTTTCTGAACATGGAATTGTCAGAGCAATGTCTTGTATGGTTTATGTATGTAACTGACATTTTCTGCATGAAAGTTCACAGAAGGGCACATTAAATTACACCCTGCAGATGCACTGTGCAATAGTCTATGGACCATATGTTCTATTTAAAAAAAAAATAATTTAAAAATGGGGCAGGAGTGGGTACATACAACCCAAGGCACAGATAAATGCTGTTCAATTTAACCACAAAGGGGGAGCTTGATTTTAATATTTTGCCCAAGTGCAGGAAGAATGGAATTAAATTTTTGACAAAGAATTTCCTTTCTTGAGGATACATTTGCTAAATCTTGAAGACATACAGAGCTAACAAAAAATCCCTTAAGAATGCATAAATTAGAAATCTTCCTCCCTCAATTTCATTTAGCTTTTTCTGTTTGATGCATTTTCAGATATAAATTCATGTATGCTACCACCTAAATTTGGTTGGACCATGATTCCACCTACAATACTTAATTTACTGTGCCTATTTGAGATAGTGGCAGCATGCTCTCTGAAATTAGAAAAGAAAAACACAACGAACACTGGAACCAGGTCCTCCCTCACCAATGGTGGGATAACGTAAAAGTTTCCAAAGGCTATCAAAAATGAAATTAAACTGTAAATCACTGTGTGGAGTGGAAGTTTAACTTTTTCCACCAGAAGCATTCTAGATACTTTGCGAACCACACACACACTTGTCTTGTGTAAAGTCACTACACGGGGAATACCAGGTACTCATGTGAACCCCTAATTAAACAGGAGCACAAGTGGCACTGCCTGGCTGCTAGATTGGAGTGTGGGCTGTGCATTTGTACACCTCGATTTACCTTTGCCTTGAGAGAAAGCCAGCCAGCCCTGGAACCTGAGGGCCAGATGGGTGTCGTGGAGTGGATTACAGTGCAAAAGTCCGTGGGATGGAGCTGCGTAAGTAGTACAGCTGTGTCCTGAGGGCATCACAGCTGAAGTAGCCAGACCCGTGCTAACAAAGCTGTAATTCTTTCAGCCTGTGAGCTACTGTTCCCATGCAGTGCAGGAGGATGTCTTAGCAGGCTTCTGGCTAGCTTCAAGCTAGCTGAAATGGGAAACTCCTCATTACAAGCCTGTGTGTGCTGTAGGCACGTTGTTACAAACTGCACCAAATTAATTGTTAGGTTTGTCTGAAAATAATAGGTAAAGACAGTAAAAGAATTCCATTTTCTGAGGAGTAGTGGAGAAAAAGCTTTTTCTACCAGCTGATAATGACCTTTTCACTTACTATAGATAATGATATCATACCACGCAAGAACTGACTGCATAAAGCCCAAGAACCGGGAAGACTAATTCAGAATACAGAAACTGGTAAAGGGGCCAAACTAGTTGCCTCCTGCAGCGATGGGACAGCATCAGGCCATGGTCTTTTGACAAATTCACAGGCTTAAGGCAACTGTCACCATTACAGTCATCTCATCTGACCTCCTATTTCACTAATAACTTTCTGTAACTATCTCCTATTTTCTTTCTG